TTAGCGATAACTTTTTGCGGTGAACTTATCGACCTATCGCCAAAACGAGAAAACTGGCTGAACACGGCAAAAATGTTGTTGTCAAATCTGAGGTGGGGTCAGATATAAATTATTTTTAAAATAATTACCTGCCAGAATGATCTTATGGTAGTGTGGAATTAACATCAATAGACCACTCAGTAAACTATTTTTATCTTTTTATAAATAAGATCTGATTTCATATAAAAAAAGCCATTTACTTTTCATTCCGGCCAGAAAAAGGTGCCCGTTTTTCAAATCGAAAAAATCTTTCGATTTCGATTACCGGAGCACCAATTTCTCGTTTTCAAAAACGAAAACGAAAAATTCTTGCCGTTTTCGATTACCGGAGCAGGCCTGTTTGATTTAGAAGTTCTTAAATAATAAATTTGTATAATAAAGTTTGCAAATACTCTTGATGTTTGAAATAATATAATACCTTAATACTTAAACAAAAAATAATGAAATAAATTAGTTTAGAGAGCATTTTCAGTGTGACCTTGTTTATTTTTTTTATGAAATTGTACATATTTGTAGCCTACTTTTAAATGTCTTTCTTAAGAGATTTAAAAACTAGGGAAAGGCCTAGAAATCAAACAACCACAACTAATTCTAATTTTAAATTTTAAAAAAAATTTAATTTTAATTTTAAATTTAAACTTCTTTAAAATGATCTTTTCGAATCTAAGAACCATTGCTATTTAATTATTACGCACTGTACAACTATCTCTTTGTCCATGCTTATATGTACCGAATATGTGTGTGTGCGAGAGTGTGTTTGTGTGTTTGGGGCAGACATGCAACGCACTGAAGCACCCACACCCGCCCACTCGTTCCCGCCCAAAAAACACACTCAAATAGAGACAGACATCCCTAGACCTAAGTTGCATGAACTTCAGTTTCGCTTCGCATTTCGGTGCATGGGTGGCGCTTTCAGAGGGGGCGGTGGTGGGTGGTCGGCGGTCGATGGTGCCTACAAGGCGAGTCAAAACAAAAAGGAGGAAAATGGAAACGCACACACAGACACAGGGGGCTTTCTAGGGGATAGACACACGCACACCACATAGACACACACACACATGGACTTTGGCCAAGCCCAAAGGCCTGGGATGCCGCCATTTTACTGCGTCCTGCACAGCACAGCTCAACTCGGTACACACACAACCCCCAGAAATTCGCAGCCCCCTTGCACATTCGTGCTGCAGGTGCGCCGCCATGAAAAGTAGCCAGGCTGCTGGCAGGAGGGTTTTGTAGGTGGTGGTGGGGGGTTGTCGGGTGCGGTGGATATATCTCCTGGTCCAAAGAGTTGATTGCGAGCTCGGCAGAAAATTTCCGACCTATCGCATGCAGTATCCTCGTTGCGTTTGCAATGCCACCCAACTCCCTGAAAAAAGAAAATAACAAAAAAAAAAAAAAAAAAAGGAAAAATCCTCCCACTGCATGCGTGTGTGCTTAAGCTTGGTCCTTTCCCCCCTTTGCTTCACCCCTGGCAATAGACCATGAAGAGATACATATATCCAGTGATGGGAAAGGTAACCATTGTTTAGGCCAGAATCTATTGACAAATGGTTATCGGAGCTCTTTAAGCGTCTAAGGATTTCATAAAATTAGGCACAATGTCCCTTGTACCTTGAAAATAATTAAAAGTACCTTAATATTTGGAAAGCTTATAAACTACCGTATATTGATATTTTTGAGTATATTAAATACCTTTATTAAAATCTTAGAATTTATTAAAAATGATCAACAATCAAATTAAATTTATAAATTATACACAAGTACCTAAAAATATGAATAGTACCTTGGATATAAGTTTTCATTGTACAAATCATTTAATTGTACCCAAGTACCTAAAAATGTAAATAGTACGTAAGATTATGATAAACTATTGTACATTAAAATTCGTGAGCAAATACCAAAATATTAAAATACCCTTGGATTAAGCCCCAAGAATTTATATTAAAATAATTAATAATCAAAATAAAATTATTCAATTGTACCTAAGTACCTAGAAAATACCAAAAATTATAAGAAATTAGTCAAATATTAAACGACCTACCAAATATGTAGGATACACCTAACAAGCTTAAATCCCATCACTATATTATAGTATGGCGCACAGAGAGAGCTCATCCTGACCGAAGCCTGGTTTTTCCTTTAACGTATTTTTCCATTTTATTTTAGAGAGGTGGGGGGGTGGCACAGAAATTCCTTGCTGCGATATCAATTAAGGATACAGCTCACTCACACACACGGACCCCGGGTACCTCCTCTTGATCCTTTATTTTTGAGGATTTTTCGGTGGCCATAGGCAGACACACAGAGACCAAAGTCCACTCCAGTCCTGGCCAGTCCCCGGTCCTGTCCAGTTGCTTCCCCCCCACCCCTCCACCCACCGGAAAAAGGGGGTAAAAAACATCATCTAAGCCCGAAACTTTGTTCAATGCTGCAATGGACAGAAGACCGACCCGAAAAAAAAAGAAGGAGACCAGACAGAGAGAGGGATACAGAGAGTGGGACAGAGCTAGTGCACACACAGAGTTGCATGTGCGTGTGTCTGCGCTGCCTGCTGCGTCCTGTGTGTGTTGGCCCTAATGGAAATTGGTTTTATGCATGTTGGCTTTTGTTTATTTTTACAATTTTGATGATGTTTTGCTGAATGCGATGCGAGTGGCAGTTTCCTCTCACTCTCACTCTTACTCTTGCTGCCCATCTATCTATCTCTTTCTGGGTGTATGTGTGTGTGCTGGTCTTTTTGGAAGCTAACTGTACTTCCGGACATTGCATTACGTTAGGTAGCACATGTGTGTGTGTGTTTCTTTTCGGGGCTAGGCTGTACGCCCTTTTTCGATTAGCTTTCAAACAAAAATGGCGCATTCAGTTGGTGTGTGTGAGACAGAGATAGAGAGAGAGGGAGAAAGGTAACACTAGCGACCCTTTGGGGTTGACTGTACCCCGAAAAAAAATATATAAAAAGAAAGCCAAGTTGCACAAAAAACTGCAAAACAATTTTAAAACCTAAAAGAAAATATAGGAATTCCCAGGCTACGTTAGGTACTAATTGAGATTAAGCATTAGGGTACTTTGAAAGCATTAAAAAAAGAAAAACAGTACAATTTCTTCTCGTGCTTTCTTGCTTAGTTACCAGAATGAGCTATTCTTTTACTAAAATACTACTAAAATCATCATACTGGACTACTCTTTCTTCTATTATTATTTTTTTTAATATTTTATTATTTATCTATTTATTATTTATTTGTTATTTATTTATTGTTTATTTACTATTTATTTATTAATTGATTTATTTATTATTCAGAAATATCAAAAAACTTTAAAAATCTTATATTAAAGGTCTTTATATTTTTTTTTATTTATTATTATTTTTAATTTCTTAAAAATGTTGACAAACTTAGAAAAATGTTAAAGCAAGATTTCCGAGCTATTTTCTTGATAATAATGTTCAAAAAGCTAGATAGTTAATAAAAAAAAACGTCAAGCAAGTCGGAAAACTAGTAACGATTAATAGCACCCAAATTTTTTCCTATTCGTTACCCCTAATTTCCTTTCTTTTGCCTTCATATATTCCCTCAATTACTACCCCATCCTAACCCACTTTACAGCCTTATTTTTCACTATTTTCCACCCACTGCCCGCCCACCTTCTGCAACGCTTTCCCTATCTTTTGTCTGGCACACACAATGAAGCTGCCGATAAAAATCCTCAACACACACACAAACACACTTTTTGCATATGCGTTTTTCTCTGTAATTCACTGAATTTCCTCCAAGACCACCCACTACTAAAAAAAAAATAAAGAACACAACACCGGCAGCAAAAATTATAACGAAAAGAAAAAAGAAGTAAAGCGGAAAAAACAGATGGAAAAATTCCTTTAGGTTCGACATTTGGTCAGAGGGGCCTCGAAATCGCCAGTTCCAGGATATACACATATATATCTATACATAGGGTATAGCCGAGCGAAGAGCACCCAATCAAAGGCGGGAAAAAAGGTCTCCGGTTCGGTTTTTTCGGGGGGAGTGGCCAAAGCACACACAGGCACACATAGAAAATAAAAAAAAAAAAAAAGAAAATACTAAAACCCGGAAAATAGAGACGAACTGAAAAACATTTTTTCCCCCCTTTGGGTCCAAGTGGACAGGGGCCAGCATAGGGTTAAGCTGGACTTAGAGGGAGGCCTGGGCGCCAAGGGAGACAAAAATATATCCCAAAGCCCCAACCGAATGATTGACAACTGCCAGCGTTGTTGGAAAGGTAAACACAATAAGTTCTCCTTTTAAATTTTACCAGATTTATCTGAAGCACATTTAAGGGTTAAATTAATTTTTATTTAAATTTAAAATAAATTAAATTTTTGTTCAAAAATACATTTGAAACGAAACAAGCGTAGATCTTGGGTTTAAAAAGCTATTTGGTTGGTTTTTCAGTCCTCATCAGTAACCCAGCTTAGAACCAGTTGAGAATTCTAGTGCCACTCCAACCAGTTGGGAATTGTCAGCCAACTCAAGTAAAGCCCCCCCTATCTCTCTCTCTCTCTCTCCCTCTCCCCCCAAATAATAATGACCATTAATATATTTTTTTTAGATTTTTATTGACTTTTTCATTTTTATTTTGTTTTTATTTTATTTTATTTTTTTCTTAGAAAAAAAATTAATTTAAATAAAAAACTGAATTCAAGATTCACTTGATTTTTACTTGTTGTTGTTTTTTTTCGTTCTTTTTCTTTGATTTATGGTTGCTTTTGTTGTTGTTGCTATTGTTTCTGTTTGTGTTTTTCCATTTAGTGATTTTATTTGTTTTGTTTTTGGGGTGAAAAGGAAAGTAATAACTGTACATAAATTTTATTTTTTTTTTTTTTTTAACAAAATCAAGCCACTACATTTATTTTTTTGTATAAATATATATTGTATGCTTTTATTGTTGGTTTTTTTTATCATATGTTTTTTTTAATTTTCTTTTTTTTCAAAAATTACTAATAGCTCAAAGAATACATAAATTTTGGGATATTTCTGGTATTTGTATTTGTTTATAAAAGGGAATTAAGACACAACCCAGGCAAAGCTCAATTATCGAATGGGTGAACTGTCTTAAATTAAATGAATTAACTCACTCATTTTGCAATTTTTGTGGTACAAGATAATCGAAATATATATTTTGATTGAAATCCAAGTTCAAGTTGCCTTTTACATTTGATTTATTATCTGATGCTGCGCTACTACATGGGTTAATGTTTATGTGGGTGTTTTGTTGTATTTTTTTTTTTTTTTTTTTTTACAGTTACAATATATACGCGGCTTTGGAAGCCACCTAAAATCAAGAATCGGAAATTATAGAACCAATCGTTGCTGCTGTGTGTGTGGGTGTGTGTTTTTCTTTCGGATACATGTATTGTGTATAGAACTTATAGAATTTATTGAATGCTTTCGCTATCTTCATCACTTCTAACTCCTCCTCCTCCTTTTCCTTCTTCTCTTTCGATCGCCCAGATCGCTTGGTTGCAAAAAAATATATTATATATTATTTATGTATATCCCGCCCGAGAAGGTTTTTTGCAAAAAAAAAAAAAATTATTGGTTTTTTTTTTTTAATCCCTTTTCATTTTTCTCATTCATCTTGCTTTCATCCTCATTACATTTACGTTTTCCTCCGTCTTATGGTTGTTTTTAAAGTATGCATTTAGTCCCCAGCCATCGCCCGTCGTCGTCGTCGTCCCATTTATGAGGAAAATCAAACTTTTCATTAATTTTCCTACTGGGAGGAGCCACTGGGGTGGTGTTCAGTCTTCGACGGCATATTTCTGGGTCCATTCGCGAGCATTACGTATAGCCTCCGCCTCGTTAACCTTCCACAATTCGGCAACATCGTTGGCCAGCGGATCATCCGGATTGGGGGCACTGAGCAGGGCCTGAATCGATAGCAATATGGTGCGTATCTGCAAGGCCGGACTCCACTTATCCTTCAGGACGTCTAGACAAATGCGACCCAAACGATCGATGTTCGGATGATAGATCTTGGTGATGAAACGCACCTTTGGCGCCGACATGGGATAGTCTTCCGGCAGGAAGAGTTCCAGCTTAAAGACCCCACCCTCGAAGGGCGAATCATTGGGTCCGGTCACTATCACATGAAAGTAACGGGCATTGTTCTCATCCGGAATGGCATTGATACCGGGCACAGGCTCCTGCATCAAGCGCTGTGTCTCCTTGATAATGCGACGCGGCAGACTCGACATATTCCTTTTGCAAAAAGTTTCCTCTTCCTAGGGAGTTTTCCTCTTATGCAGCTTCTATCTAATCTGTTGGTTAGAAATAATAATTACGAGAAGAGAAAAAAAGAGTTAGAGAAGAAATAGAGACAATTGAGACATAATTCAGAGATCTATAGAGGTTTTATAAATATAATCTTATGGTGTATTTATGGATTACCAAAATTCTGCCAAAGAAAAACTTGGCTAATATGAGATTTTATAAATTGAAAATTTTGTATAATTTTTTTGTATTGACTATCGACAATTTTATGAATGGTAACTCGATTTTTTGTAACTAGATAGCTAACAAAACAAGCTAATTTAAAGAAAAACATACATTTAAATTCTATTGCCCAGGGACGTCCCTGTTGCATATGTGTGTGTGTGTGTGTGTGTCTGTGATGGGGGGGTGGTAGGATGAATTCCGGTTTGATGTGTGGCTTTCACTTTCCTTAAGAAAGTTTTTCAGTAGAATTTTGCCTGCCACAAAGATGTCTCTATTATGCGGCGAAACTTATTTTAAGGGAATACTAATTTTTAAAAATGTAGTTTAAAAATTTAAATAGGGTTTTACAATTTAACGTTTTTTCCCTATTTGAAATTGATTTTTTTAATTTATTTATATTATTTTATATCCAACATCTAAGAAAAGTTATTTTTATATTATTATTATATTGCTAACTTTAAAAAAAATTAAAAGGGATTAATTATTGAATTAATTAATATTTTCCGAATTTTTTAATGAATTATTAAAAAATTAACTATATTTTAATTAGTGTTTAATATAACCGAAGGATTTTCAATGTACATTTTGAAAATAATCTCCTGAAGTCGAACTAACTCCACCGGCATTTATTTTCCACCCCTTTTAGCATGACCTTGCAGCTCCTTTAAGCAGCATTCCTACACTCAAAATAAAAGTAAACAAAAAAATGTTAAGTAAATATAAGTTAATTTCCTAAACAAATATTTATAAAACAATTATAAGCCACATGGAGCCAGCTATTTATTTTATAAAATTTTGTTTAAAATTTTACTTAATTAAAAAATAGTTTTTTACTTTTAATTTAATAAGAACATGGCAAAACCCATGGGTCATTTTAAATATAATCCAATAAAATTATATTGATTATAAGAATAATTTTCTCAAAGTGTAGACGTGTAATATGGGGTGGAAAACAATCAAACAAAGGTAAACAAAAGCCGATCGAAATGACGCACATGCCAAATTTAATTATCACAAAGACAATAAACATAAGCACGTAGCAAACGTAACGTAAATTCCTTCCTTTTTTTCAAAACTAAATCAATAAACAGCACAAAGTTTTTCTGCCAGTGTGCGGCTTTTATTGTATTAAAATTTATTGATTTCCCTTTTGGGTGACAACTGCACGTAGCAAAGGGAGGAGGCGGCGACCGAGAGCAAGGAGAACAAACAAACGAACGAACGTGGAAAACGAGGTAGGGGGTGGGTAATTGGAAAATCAATAACGTGGACAATTTACTTAAAAAAACACCTAATAAGATTTTAGTTTCTTTTTTTCCTTTTCCTTTTGCTGCCAGAAATTTTTGCGCACGCACACAGACACAGGCACACAAAACACCGACACACGCACACAAAGCCAGACGCACGAAAAAGACAAAGCCGAAGAGAAGAATATGCGATGGGGCGAGACAAAGAAGGCGAGCGCGGCGTAGCAAAAACGCCGCATTTTTTGCACAATTTTAGTTTAAACAAAAAAGCCTGGTGGATTTCTTAACTAAAATGCAGCAATTCTTGGATTTTTGCATACCATACACACGCACGCACACACACATATAGGGTTTGCAATGACAAAAAAAAAAACATGCACACCACTTGGACAGCAGATTTCTTTCGACGTTTTGTCAATTCTGGCTTCTTACTCCACCTTTATGCGGAGTTTTCTACACTTTTCTTGGATTTTTCTTCGTATTTCGTGTGCTTCTTAATCTTTATTAAATTTTACTCCTGCTTCCTCTTCTTCTCCTGCATTTTGTTGTTGTTCCACACCGAGTTCTACTTCTTCTTTTTGTTGATTTTTCTCTATAATATGAAAATGTGGATTAACACAAACTCACAGCGTTGCGGGTCCAAGTTATTGGAGATATTTCTGCGTAGCGGGCGTTATAATTTTATTAGTTATTCGCTTAATTTCCCGATTCTTTTTAGCAGGCAGAGCTCCACCACAAAAAATTATGAATGTCGAACGCACTCGAAAAAAATTTCGCTCTCTGCTTGTGTGCGCGCGTACGTGAGACCAGCGTATGCATGTGTTGTGTGCGTGAGAGCGGCAATGTCAGTGGGGAAGGGTTGCCAGAGCGCCGGCGGCAAAACATGGAATTTTCATTCCAAGATTTTTCCTTTTCAACACGGTAAATTAATTTAAATTATTAACTATTTAGTTATATTTTTAGTTAGTCTTGTGTTTTTAAGCTTAAGTTTGCTTTTTAACGTCCACTTTTATGTGCCCAATAAGTAAAAATACAAAATTCTCGACAACTCTACCGCTTAGCGGCTGTCAAAAGTGACCAGATTTCGTAGCAACCAGCTGTCCGACACGATACAAGCCAGAGTTTTATAGCTTTCAGCTTTTTTCTTGCTGGCAGCATTACTCGAAACATGGCGGTGTTAAGATCAAGTTGGATACAATTGTAAGTTTTGTGTAAATTTGAGGGTTTTCGATCAAAGAAACAAGAACAAGTGTTGTATAAAAGAAACATGATCAATTTCCCTTACATTTAGTTGTAATTCTAGTTCTAAATTTGTGTTTTAATATCGTTTCAGCTCCAACAGCGGTCTCGTTATGTTTTCTCCGGACGCGCGAGCAAGGCATTCTTCCTTACGGTACTTGCCCAAGCGGTCTCAGAAATCCTTGAAAAAGGAATGCAACAAAGTTTTGGCAAAGGCGCGTCAAAAATCCTTAAGCGCCTTGATCTGGAGTTATAGCCTAGTTGTTATTTGTGTTTTAATAACTTGCGGCCTCTTGCTTTAGCTGCGGCAGCTAGAGTTTCGTTAAGTTTTCATTGGACGCGCCACCAAGGCAAGGCTAACTGTACTTGCCCAAGCGGTCTCCGAAAACCTTGAAAAGGGAATGCAACAAAGTCGCGCAAGCTTGGCATTCCTTCGGTACCCGTGCGTGTTCGGCGGTTCGCGAAACCATGATCGGGAGTGAAAATAAATAACGCGTTGCGCGACGGTGAATTTTTATTTTCTTATTGTGTGTGTGCCCCAAGTGAAATAAAAGTGAAAATGTCAAGGATATCAGTGCATATTTTTTATTATTTTTTTTATGTGACTACGCACTCGTTACCGTTTATCTCGTTATCGTTTTTCTCGTTTCCGTTTATCTCGTTACCGGTATGTTCGTGCCTGCTCCTGGTTTAAAGTTTTTATAACAACTTTTGTGGCTTTCAAAGTTTATGTTGTGAGTATTATATTTTATTATTTTCTAATTTTTGATTATTTAATTTATGGTTTAAGGGAGTTCTTATATTTGGTTTTAAAATGATTTTTTTTTTTTATCATTTAATTATTTAAATTAAAGTTGTATTTTGGTAATTGAATAAAACGAAGTTTAAATGTATAATACAATTTTTCTGCGCCTTCAACTTATTCTAATAACCAAAGAGTAAGCGAGTGCGAAATATTTAAAAGTCTAGCAGAAAAGAAACATACAATCAAATACAAAAGCGTGCAAAGGAAAAGTCCGAAAAGGAAGTGAAACAACAAACAAAAACAAATTGTCAATTTTTTTGGTGTAATCAACATTTATGCGTTTTTAAAAAGAGAGGCTGTCCGAACGAACACACACTGGCACTCTCACTCACACTCACACACATCGAATGCAATGCCCAATGGACGCACAAGAGGGCAACAACAAAAACAGCGCAGAAGGCAGAAAACTAAAAAACACCAACAACAACGTGCGAGCCTCTCACTCGCTCGCACACACGTTATTTATCATTCGTATTCGCTCGATTGCATTGCGGCCTATGCATGTGCGAGCGTGAGTGTGTTATGCATATGGCTGCCTTGCTGTTGTTGCCCTTTTTGCAGTTGTTGCTGTTTGTTTTTATCTCGCACACTCACACACACACACTTGTGCGATCTCTGTTTTTAGGCTGGGCAACGATAGTTAAACCCAGCCCACAAGCCAGAGCGAGAGGGAGTGAGTGGGTGAACGGTGTCGAAGAGAGAGCGGTTGCAAGGAATGAGGGAGCGAGAACGAGCAACCTGACTCTCTGTTGCAACTGCGCTGCTTTTCCTTACGCAGCCAAATCGATGTGTGTGGTGGGTGGATGGAGCGGGGTGAAACAGTGGGTGGGTGTGGGCGAGAGGAAGAAAGGGGCCGGCGACCTTTATTTGCTCTTGAGTTGCAGCTGTTTTAGTGCATGTTTCCGTTTTTCCTTTTTTTTTATGTTTGTTTATGGCTAACTTTTTACTGCGACAGCTGATCTTTGAAAGAGAGTGACGATAGTAGGGTTGTGGGCTGGGGGCTGTGGGAAATGGAAAGGCAGTGGGTGCATCTCAGGGCTTTCTTACTGACTCTGTAAGAAAGTTTTCATCTAGAAATGGAGATTCACTAAATTCATTTACCGTTATTAAACAATTGGAAGGAGCTAAAACATATTCTTACATTAAAAAAAAAGGGAAATTAAACGAAAAGAAATGATTTCTAGAGATTTATTTGTGTCAGAATTTTGGCTTTTAATAAACTTTTTTGGAATTAAAAAATTAATTTGAATTAAATATTTGATTATTTCTTATAAGTGTAGAATATACAGTTTTACAAATTCTTTCTTAGAACGTTTATAAGTTGATTGTTCATTAAGTAAATATATACTAATTTAATCTTCTAGTTCTATGTTAAGCTTATTCCAATATAATAAATTTTTTATTCTGTTCAATCAGTATTTATTGTTTAAGTTACATTTTTAAGCACTTTTATCAATATTCTCCATTGTTTTTAATGGCCGACAATAGCGACTCCCTGCCATAGTTACAAAAACATGGCGTAGTTTTCTAGGGGTTTTTTCTGTCTACTTTGTTTTTCGATTACAGGGTTGTAAGAATTTTGAAATGGCCAATATTATGCTCTCTCTTTACAGGATGTTTTTGGATTAAAAGAATTTGGAATACTGAGCTATATTAAAATAAGATTTAATTATTTAAGGTTTTGAGGTTTAAAAAGTGGCTTATCTATAAAATATTCGTATCAACAGTAATTATTTTGATTTATTCAAACTTTTGTTTAAATAGATACAGAAACTTCTAACAAGTCTCAATAGGTGTTTAATTTTTTTTATGATTTTTTTATTATAAAAGAATTATTAGGTTTTAATATATATTCATAATTTCCTTAACATTCAAATCATTAGAAATAAATAAATTTAAAACTCCCTTAATCAACAAAAATAAACTTTCCAAACTTTCTTCCAAGTTTATTTTTTTATTTTTCAAACTCAATTGTAACTTGGCAACATGTTGCCAAAGGAGAACTTGTTGGCAGCAACAATACCAATCAGAATTCACGCGCTCTTCTTTCGCCTGCAGTACCAAATTGCATTGCAAGAGAGCTAGGAACGAGTGGAAGAGACAGAAAGAGAGGGAGTCTGAGAGAGAGAGAGAGAGTCCGCAACGCTCTTGAGTCCGAAAAAACGCAACGAACAAAACGAGCAAAACAAATAAGGCAAAAACACAAACAAAAAGAAGCGCCGCTTTCCTTTTGCTTCTTTATTTGTTTGTTTGTTTTTGTTGTTGCTGTCGAAGGGCAGGAACAAGTGATTTTCCGAAAAAAAAAAGAAAACACATTGGTGTGGGGTGGGCACACGCAAAAACAAAAACAACAAGGGAAAAGGACGAAAAAAATGTGAGGTAAAAAGTATCCGTTAGTCATTATACCCGTTGTTGTTGTTGTTGTTGCTGCCGCTATTCTTGGGATACAACGGTATATTGCCCCCCCATTGAGGGTTCTTGATCAGCCTCACCAGGCGAATCGATTTAGCCATGTCCTCGGCTGTGTGTTTGGGCGGTTATATCTCAAAAACCTTTAGAGCTAGAGATACCAAATTTGGTAGACACATTCTTGGGGTTGATAGCTATTCGAAGCTAAAGTCCTGAATGTTGTAAATAGATTTAATTTACTAATATTTATAAATTTATATATTATTTATTTATTTATGTATGGTTATAGTTTATATATGGTATATGGTTCAAGTTTCAAATTCAGTCTTACGTTTATTTAAAGTAGAAAAATACACTCGCCTCAATTGTTTGCAAACTGTGACTCTCATGGGTTTGAGTCCTGGCTGGAAAGGAGTCCACAGAGCATGTTTTTACAGGCTATTTTCTAGTCTGGCACACTTTCTAAGGGAACTTTCTTACTTGTTGCATTGTCTTTATGTTGTTCGAAGAAAATTAAATAAATAGAAGAATTTGTGCAAAGATGAAAAATTTATTAAAAATAAATAATTTAAGTGTGAATTGCAATTGTTTTTTGGTTCGTTTTTCCTAAAAAGCTTTGACGAGTTTGCCGTAAAATTTGTTTAAACAGTAATAGCACAAGCGTGCATTTATAATTCCCAACTGGTTTTATCATACCCAGAATAAAGAGACTTTCCTGTATGCTTCAGCCCTAAACCCAAAAGAAATCTTTCTAAATGTAAGAAAAATGTTTACCTTTAATTTAATCCAGGATTTTTGTATTTTTACAGAATTTTAAGCTCTGCAGATAATTACCAATACATATATTATATGCTCCACAAGAAGGGTATCCCGGGGTTCGATGTCCTTTTCCCCCCAATAAACCCCCCGCCCCATTTGAATGGTTCTGTTTGTTGTTTTTGTTGTTGCTGTTGTTTTGGGGTCGCTCGCGTCCTTTTTGTGAGTGCAACAGACTTGGGTCGGCGCGGCCTTGGGGGTGGGATCTCGCTGGGTGGTTTTGGGCGGCTGAAGGAACAAAGGAAACCCTTGGCAACGCAGGGCCAACAAAAAAGAAGCAGACACAAAAAATATCAAGATGGAGAAAGCAGAAGAAGGAGAAGAAAACGACGACGACGACGACGACGAGGACGAGGACGAGGACGTGGACGTGGACGAGGACGAGGACGAGGACGAGGACGAACGAAAAGGGACGAAGTCGAAGTCCTGTCTGCGTGCCTATATGTATGTGTGTGGGTGGAAAATTGCGTCCTGTCGGCTTTGTTTTTTTTTTTGGTTGCGGGTGGTGCAGCATAGGCATAGAGTTGTTGTCGCCGTTTTTCATATATT